AGTGGCAACAGAGTTTTGTTTTTTATGGCTATGGGACCCTCTCTGAGGATTGAGGTTTGCTTGGAAGAAATCGGATCCACCTGAGTAAGTGGGGCAAAAGGATCTTTGCCAACAGGTTGGCCAACTTCATGAGGAGAACTTGAAATTAGGAATGACAAGGGAGAGAGAAAATAACCAGCTCACCCCACGTGTGTCCTCATAAACAGAAAAGTGCCCACCAGGCAAAATCAGCATGGCTGGAAGTCTCTCTGAAGTGCTGCACAGTAGTGCAAACAGCATGGGGAATAAATAAGAATGCTGCAGTGAGCAGCTACAAGGTCTGTAGGAAGGAACAGCTGGGGTGGTGAGGGAGGGAGGTATATTTTGTGTGAGAGAGCGGTAGGACTGCATGATGCTCTGCACAGGGACACACAGTGAGCAAGTGAAGAGTTTATGGGTTAGGATTAGAGGACAGACCAACATGGGCAACATTGTGGTGGGCCTTATGTTTACTATACCCATTTGTGCTGGAGGACACAAGCAATCCAGATTTATGGAACTCCCTGGCAACTTCCTGACACAGGTAATAAAGGAGTCGATGAGGAGAAGTGGACTGTTGGATCTCATACTTACAAACAAGGAAGATCAGTTTGAGGATGTAAAGACTGGGGTAAACCTTGGCTACAGTTGTCATGAGATGTTGGAGTTCAGGATCCAGAAAGGAAAAAAAAAAAAAAAAGAAAAAAGCAAGATCATAATCCCAGACTTCAGGAAAGCAAACTTTGGCCTCTTCAGGGATCTGCTTGGAGGAATCCCATGGGAGACTGTTGGAGATAAAAAGGGTCCAGGTTGATTTTCAAGGATTACCTCTTCCAAAGTCAAAAATCCATCTTAAGTTGCAGGAAGATATGCAAAGGTGGCAGGAGGCCTGAATGGATGAACAAGAATCTCAAAACACGAGAAGGAAGCATAGAGAAGGTGGAAGCAGGAAAGAGAAGGTCCGGGAGGGGACGGATCAGTGCGTATAAACACCTGATGAGACTTGCAAAGAAGATGGAACCAGGCTCTTCTGGGTGTTTCCCAATGACAGAACAAGACGCAATGGGCATAAACTGAAATATCAGAAACTCCATTTAACCCAAGAATGAAGTTTTTAAGAGAGGATTGTCAAGCACTGAAAAGAAGGTTGCCCAGAGAGGTTGAGGAGTCTCCACTTTAGGAGACCGGTTTGGAAACAGGTTCAAGACCTGTTTGGACACTGTCCTAAGCAGTCTTTAGTTGACCATGCTTTGAGCAAGGGGTTAGATGATCTCCAGAGATCCTTTCTAACCTCAGCTATTCTGTGATTCTGTGATATCTGCATTATTTTGATACTTATGACGTACAGTGATTGGAAAGCACCAAAATAAAACATGTTCTGTTGCTGATAACTAAGTCATACTGCAACGATGTATTCCAAACTTGACTCAGAAATTTGGAAAAAATGTCCTGTTTATGTGCATATAATGCCCAACATGTATTTAGGTGCAGCATGGCGTCCCTCAAAGGGCACTATGTTCTGTTTCAAGATGCGCTTATTTCTATGCTTTCTAGTAGACTAATGTTAGAGAAATTGTCTTGTGACTTAAATCCATTTACCAAAGATAATGTGAAATCGAAGTGAAAAATTAGAACTAGCAGTTAAGAATATTGCTGGTTTTCAAGCTGGCTTTTTACTAACTTGCTTCCATGATTCTGTACTCATAGTAGGAAGTCCTGTGTCCAAGTGTAACTAAGTGTTCAACTCCTCCTACCCTCTTGCACTGAGGTGTGGGTCTGGAAGCCTTTGCTCCCTCTATGACATTCTTTCAACTTAATTTATATTCATTTTACAACTTAGCAATAGCATTTTCACGAGGTAAGAACATTCAGAATATCCTAAAAGTTCCGATTTTAACTTCAGGGAAACTTAAGAGTGAACAAGTGGGATTCTAGCTACCCTCAAAGGCATCATTTAGCTCCTACATATCTCTTTTTTTTTCTGATGTTGAAAACTGTATTTCCATCATGATTGAAAAATAAATCTTAGTAATCTAAAATAACACCCGTGTTCTTCTTCATAAGAAAAAATATTTTTATATATTACTAGAGCTTCTCCATGTGAAGCTGAACTTCAGGAGTTAATGCATCAAATTGATATCATGGTAAACAGCAAGAAAATGGAATGGGAAAGGAAGATGCGAGCTTTGGAGGCAAAGATGGATATCCGGGATCAGGAACTAGCAAATGCCCAAAGTAAATTGGATCAAAAAGGTCAAGAGGTACTTAAAAATATTCCATTCTGTGAAGAAAGTGTTTATTCTGGGAGTTAGTTAATAACATGCTCTATAAGCGGTAGTGTTCATTGTCAGGCCAAAATACCAAACACATTTTTAAAGGTCAGTAATCATTTTTAATGTTTTGTTTTAAGGTGTGCTTCTGTTGTGGAAAAAAAAAGGTAGTATAAATGTCATTGAAAGTCCCACATCTATTTTATTTCCCTAAGGTCTAAGTCAATATTCTCTGTTTAGTTATAAAAAGATAAATCAATATTTTCAAATGCAAACACTTCTAGCATCACCAGAAATTGAAAATAAAAATACGCTATTCAAAAAATTAGACCAAATTTTGCCTTGGTAATTCCTGTTCATTCCCATTTTTTGCCATTTTAAATGCCTTGTATGTAGCTTCATATGTTAATTTTATTATTACAATGCAATTTGTATTGTATTACCACTTAGAAATGCTAAGAGACATCAGTGACATCTTAGCATGGCTTTCAACACTAGCTTAATATGTCTAAAGTCAGGTGCTTACGTGTAAGTGTCTGTGTGTGAACTAGGTGTCTAAGCTACTATTATAGTCAGGGGAATTTGGAAAATGATGTCATTCACCCTAACAATTTAGATTTCAATGCAAATACCCTTAGTCATTACAGCCAGAGGAGCCAAGCAAATAATTCAGCTAGCTGGCCCTTAAAGCCTTAAGTTATTTGCCTATGCACAGGCATCATCTGAGATATTTTAGCATATTCTGCCTGATGTCCTGTTGCCTCTCCAGAAAAAAATATAGATTTTCTGTATGTTCTTTGCCTTATTTCTCATGTGCAAATTATTTCTCATATGTGCAAATATGAGATAACTCAAGACATCTCACTTGGGTATTTAGGGAACGGAAATGAGCATACAATATCTCCCAGTAATTGGTATGTAAGTTACTGAAAGTCATGTATGTGATTACATGAGACATTCAAGCAAAATTTTCACATTAGTGACCAGGGATTTATTCATAAAGTTTGGCCAAAACTGCTTTCACCTAAAGGTCTTTCATGACAAACAGTGTTAGCATTAAATCATAACATAAGCAAACAAAAAGATTTTTTTACTTTCAAATCCAGAACTTGATGTCAATACAATATAAATCTGTGGTGTCCAGATTTTAATATTAATCAAATAAGTTTATTCTTTAACATTCATCTTTTATGCAAAAATCTACTTTCAAAGTTTCAGATGACTGCTTTGGAAAATGTGCATATTTGAACACTTTAGCAAGGGTAAAATCAAATGCTTATTCTAACTGTAGGTGGGACGACTTCAACAGAAGCTGGAAAACTTACAGAAAGCTAAATCAGAAATGGTTCAGAATTATGAGATCCAGCTTCAAGCATTGAAATCTCAAGTAAGAAAAAAGTTGGTTTCATTATTTTCTATTGGCAGTATAAAGATCTTCCATGTACAGTAGATTCACCTTTATGAGTTTGGGACAGGTAAATTGTGCCACGCAAATGCTGATGATGGCAGCTTCCAACCTGGCTAACATTTCTGTACTGACATGTCTGGACTCTGGAACGGATGGTGACAGTGAAGACAACTGTCCTGGAGTCAGACATTGCTTTTTTGACTATGGACTAATAACTTGAAATCTTGGTGAAATGAGTAAATCGGATCATTAGCTTCATGCTGATAAGACTCTGATGCACATTGGAAATTTTGAGACAAACTGTTTTTTTCATGTCTTTGGTCGCCTTACACTTCTCTGATTGTAGTTTGTCTGGTTTATAGGGGTCATTAAAATGGCTTGGTAGCTTTATGCAAGAGAAGAGAGCTTTACAAGCGGAGTAACCTTGAACATTTTTGTTGTAAATTTGTTTTGGCTCTTTATTTTCCCCTCCAATCACGAACCTAAATTCTTAGTGAAGTCTTGACTGTACTGTTTCCCAGATTGTAACACATTAACATAGACAATTATACATCTCTTTTTTAAAAAATATATTTATTTATTTATTTATTTATTTATCCTTCTGCTATTTTCTTTACTGGCTTCTGCTATGAGAGATTTTGTCTTATAAAATTTTCCAAGTCCAATCACACTTGTAGTAGAATTGGCATTGATTGCCCAGGTGGGAAATCATGATTTTCTTTCAGAGCTGATAACATTTGTCACTTACAGTGTATCAAATCACAACGGTATAATTTATCCTTTAAGTTTGTTTTCTTTTTAGCTTTTTTAATATGTTTGCATTTAATTATGGAATGCCATTTGGCAAACAACTTGTGTGTAACTGAGAATGTTTTAGTTGGCCTGGAATTAACACCTTTAATAATTTGGGAAAGAAGCTAGAAATAAAAGCTGTTTTACAGTTTGCACAATAAATTACAGGGGAAAAAAAGATACCTCTTAGCATGATTACTGAGAAGCTAAACATCAGACAATCAAAAAAAAAAAAGGTATTACATTTTAGGATAAAATGCAAAGTGCCCTTCATAATGAAAAACTATCATCCATACCACAGCACATCTTTTTTTTGTCATCTTTCATCACATCCCCTGAGATACTTCTTTACACCTTAGGTCCTTTTATCTCATTTTAAAAATCACTATTTTCACATTTAGTGTTGATGCTAACAATTCCACTATTGTTTCTGAAATTGAAGCTCCAGGTCATTTTTCATAAAGCTTTTGATTTTGAGTTCTTACTTGACCCTGCAGCTCTTTTCCATGAGGAAATACTATCTCTTTGCTCCTCATAGATTTTATTTTTAAAGTATGAGAGTCCCTAACTTTACATATACCTGGCATAACTTTCCTCCATGCACTTGGCAATCCCTCTCGCCAGGATTTTCAACTTTAGTGACTGCTCAGACCACCAGAACTTTCTGGGAGAGTCCTTTACCTTTTGCCTTTATCCCAAACGTTTGGATTTCTGGCTCTTATGAATGTATGTATGTTTGTACTTAGCAGACATCCCCCACTCACCCCACTGTGCTCCTGTTTAATGTCCTGAATTCTCAGCTGCACAAACTGTACCTAAAATAAGGAAAACCACAATTATTTGTTCCATATTGTTTCAACAGGATTCTGTGGGGTTTTGTTATTTTTTTTTAACATGGAAGAAGTTTCTTTACCAAGAATAGTTAGCTTGAGCAGTTAACAAAAATAGAGCTTTTATGGGTTTGTTTTTCTTTTGGTTAGACAAGCAATTTCCTTTTAGAGCCATATATATATATATATATATATTTCTTAAGTTGCAGCCCTAGTTATTACAGAGGATATAATATAATATCCCTGGCTTTAAAGAAACCAAACAAGAAGAGATGTGGTCTTTATTCATAGTTCTAAGCTTCTTTTCTAGTCAACATTTTTCCCGAAGTCTCTTGATTAGCTTTCCTCAGGACTGTTTCTCAGGTTTTCTTTGGCAATATCCTTGCCATTGACTTTCCAGGGTCATCACGGCTGCCAAGAGCTTCTCTTCTCTTTTGTTCAAAACAAGATTTAATCTACCAGCCCGTGTGTGTTTCTGCTATATCCAACCTGTGAGTGTCCACCTTCCCACTTAGTGGCTCCTAGCAAACTCCCTCAGCCTGGTCATTTTTCTCCCGCTCTGCTTCCATCCATTGGTACCTTCCTTTAAAATCCTATAATGATAACCCGTCTTCCTGGCTCCTGAAGAACTTTTTTAAAATGTCAACACAAGATGGCAGTAAACAAGTGTAAAACAGTTCTTGTAAACATGGAAGGGGAAGTCACCGTTTGGGTAAAAATCAGAAAAAAAAATAGCAAAATGAAATAATTCTCAGATGAGCCTGTGTTTAAATGAGCAGGTAGGTAGCATTTACGTTAAGAGCTTAGTCTTGTTCATCTCTAAGAAAATTACTCTTGGAATTGGTGCTTTGTTGTGTTGCTTGAGCAATCAGAGCTTTAAACTACAATTGCCAAGTCTAGTTTCGAGTTATTGGCAATGTGGTCATCCGTGATGGCTTCTGCATATTTATGTCTGCTTCCATTTTTAGTTCTTGAAGTTGATACATAGTTATGAAAAGCTACAGTTACACCAGTTAAAACAAAAAAAGGTTCAAAGTGGAGAAAAATGTGTGCAAGGCCTAGAGATGCCATTCGAACTGAGCAATGTAACCAAGAAACTAGAGGTAAGACTATATTGTTGTAAGATGTTAATTTTAATATTTTTAAAATTAAATTGTGTTTTATATTCATAGGCTTTAAGTTTCTCATTATTCTGCAACCCAGAATGGGCACATCATTTAACATTCAGGTTCCTAGTCATAAACCAAGTGTTTTTATTATTTTTATTAGTTAATATAAATAAGTCACTTCATATATATAAATAGTATACATATAAGTATTTAGTATTTACTTATCTATACTTCTATATATGCTTATTTATATATGTGTATATTAAATACAATGCATATTAAATGCAGTATAAATTACTTTATACTTCCTTCCTGATGAATATATATTCATCATATATATTCATAATATATATATTGGACAGTATCAACTATTATGGCATGAGAATTTCTACATATGCAGGATATTGTGGGTGTCACAGGGTATGTACTACATTATTTCAAGTTTTGCAGGCTTCAGGACAACTTTTATCATGCAGGGATAGATAAGAGAGAAAAAAGATTAAGGCCTGAAAACCTGGTAGTTATAGCACATATCTGTCAGCACCTATGTACCTGAGGCAACCCACAGCCTTGACCTGAGTACCTTGGGTCCTTAAGTAATATGTGAAGAAAGATAAGTCAGTTAAAAATAAAATCCACAGGATCCAGCCTACCGAGTGGAGAACTGGAAGATACAAGATGTAAAGGGCAGAACTGAGTCATAATCCCTGTCCCTCCAGACACAGGAGTCCTTACCACAAAATGTACTAAACTTGGGACCTCAGCATGACTGTCAACATCTGCTACTACAAGAATAATAAATGGGTTGTACATCTGTCATTGACTAAATATATCACAACTGCGAAGCTGTCGGATCTGGCTGGTTTGAGAGTGACCTTATTCAAGATTAAAATGTGAAAATAATGTAACACAATGCTATCATTTGATTAATTATGCAGTATGAAAAATGAGTGCTTGGAATATGTTCAGCAAATTCTAGTATTCAGAAAATAATTACTGTGTAGAAAATCTAAGCTCAGCAGTGCTTCAGTAAGCGCTTGAACCTGCAGTACTCATTTAGTAGCCTGAATCTCCTTTTCTTTTTAATCACATTTTGTAAAAAGGGAAGATTTTTGTTAGTTTAAAATGCCAAAGCAAGTATTTAGAAAGCTTTATGGAAAGATTTGTGTTAATCCATTTTAGAAAGCAGTTGATTTAGTTTCAGTAAATAAAACCTTGTTTTTTCTAATTCAAGGAGCACAAAGTTTTGAAGAGCTCTCCAGAATCATCTACTGGGAGACCACTGTGAAAGTTATTTCCATTGTGAAAACAAGTTCTCAGAGCAGCTTAAAAATTTCACTGTGTAAAACTATGTACTGTTATTTTGTTATTTTTTCACCAAGTCCAAAGGAGCAACAACTCTAGTAACTATGGAGTTCACCTACTTTTTATTGTAGGATACCTTCTGTGAACACATACGATCTAATATGATTTAAAAGCAAAATCAAAAACAGTATCAATAGAAATATAAATGCAAATACAGAAAAAATATAAGATAAATATGATTCTCATGGATCTTGTTCATTCAGCTTTGTGTAACCCTGATGAACTCAGGTGAAAAAACATCAGAATCAGAATCAGGAATTGAAAAGAGAGAAAGTAGTAAATATTTTTCCACTGTAGCTGCTATCCCATTTGTTCAAGAAGAAAAGGGAAGAAAAACAGCCAGATTATCTGATCATTAAGGGATTGATTATGTACCGATTACAGTGGTGTAACTCCTTTACAATCATGGGAACTACCTTCCAGTAAAACTGAGATACTGTCGTAATGAATTAGGTCCCCCAGATCTTCAACAAAGAAAGCATAATTAAATATTTTCATTGATTATATTTAATATCCAATTGGTTTAGATTAACAGTCCCTTAAATTATACTTTCTTAAGTGTTTGTGGAAGGGAAAGATGGCTATTTTACATATCTGTTCTTTTTATCTTCTTTACAAGATTACAGAATGCTGATGTATTAATTATTGAATAATATTTTTCTTAGAACTATACAAATTACAAAGTTATTTAGATTAAGGAACAAAGCAATTTTTCATATATTTTATAACCTTGCTTTGCTATCTTTCAGGAATTTGAAGCAAAATCAAGAGAATGGGATAAGAAGGGGACAATCTACCAAAATCATCTAGTTTATTTAGATGCTCAACAAAAATTACTGTCAGAGAAATACAATTTATTTCAGGTACAAATCGTATCTTCCTGCTTTTGAGAGAAAACTATAATTTTAAACCTGCTAACTCAGTGAAAGTTATTTTACCTCAAGAAAAAAAAATCTAAACACCATGAATCTTACAGTGAACCTAAAGAATTAACATGGCTACATAGCTTTTAAGCAAGGCAGACCCACACTGAAAGATCTATGGATACACAGAGTTACTTGACTTTTTTTCTCATGTATTATGAATAAATATCACAGTGAAAATTATAATAGTTCTGAAAAAAGATAGTAAAAAGGGGAATCCTTTTTGCTTTTTTAGAGTGTGCTGTGGAGATATTTGTCAGAATGTTGTATTGCCTTCTGTACAATTAACTGTGATTATGTGTTATAAAAACTCTATTACAAAGTAAGAGGTGAATGCTATTACTAAGAGGCTCAAATGAAAGATTTCCTCAAATCTAAGGTACACCTCACTTTGAGGATCATAAATATACATGAATGTAATATATACTGAAAAACGAATTTCTCTATGCTGCTCCAAATTCAATCTGTAGATGTTTGTTCAATTGCTTAATAATTTTCACTCTTATTTTTCAGGTTTCGAGTTACCATTTAGAATTATTTGACCTCTTGTCATTGATAATCTGCTTTTCCACTAGGCCTGAATTATTTTTTTCTTGATCTAGTGAAACACTTCCTTAAGCATTCCTATGAGAGGTTTTTTTTTCCATATCTAGAGTCTCCAAGGCTAGTAGTTAAATTTGGTTTATAGATGCTGAATTACTGAATTTTCATGCATAGGTCTGATGAAAAAAGTGGGATTTTCACTATAAAATTTGATGCATGTTGAGGTGATCATACAATTGGACAAGTCAAAATGGAGTTTTCATAAGGTTGTCGCCCACATTTTTTTGTTGAGGTTCACGTTATTTCCATTAATAGATTTCAGATTTATATAAGAAAGCAGGTAAGCTTAAATATAGCAGTTATATATAAATCTGATGGATCATCACATCCTAAATTGAAAGACATATAAACTGAGCTCATCTTTGCCCAGATGGACTGTGTTTTTCAGAGGTTACTTTTGGCATTATGATATGTCCAACTCCATTATGATATGTCCCACTTTAATTTGTTATCTATATTAACTAAACTTATCTGCAAGTTTCTCTAGGCTTTCTGTTTAATGTGCAGCCAGTGGTCAGTTCTGGTTAGGAGTTCAGCCCACAGAACTGCTGAGAACATAGTGATATTAGAAGTTGTTTAAAGCATTCCTTTTTGCAGTCTCCATTAATAAAATATGGTACCCTGTTGATTTTTAATGTAAATTTTCTTGCTCAGCTTGAACTCTAGACATGATTATGGTTTGCAGAATATATTTTGTTGCTGCTTTTCAGCTAATTCTCAGTCTTCTGGAAGATGATTGCTGTTTGTTAATCTCCCAGTAGATGAATCCATATGGATTATTTTTTAAACAGCAAAAACAGTTACCATAGTAATTGTTTTTCTTCACAATGCCTGCAATTTGACAAATACCACCAATACCAATTTCCTGTAGTTTTGGTTCTCAGATTTTTTAATCAGTACAAGGAACTGGAGGGAGTGTGTGACTGCTTCCAAAGATGATGAATGTGGAAATAATCCTTTCCCAAGATTATGGATAATGATATCAAAGTACAATTACTGTAGTAAATAACTGGGCTGTTTATACATGAACTATGTGATAGTAGCTTTCTAGTCAAAGGTTAATATCTATCCTGAAGCGTACATGCACAACTCCTACTGAGATCGACATATCACAGAGAAACCTTTATCTCATTTTTTATATAGTTAACTGCTATGAGTAGGTCACCTTTTGCACATTTGAGGTTGCATTAGGACTAGGGAATTATACAGCAGAGGAGAAAAACACCTGAAAAATTATGCACACTTGAAAGTTTCCCAATTATTTTTCCCTGTAAAGGCAAGGAACTTGAGGACAAAAAAGGGAATACCCAGTGGAGAAATAGCATGCACACTATTCCAATTCTGCCATATTTTCTGAGCAGATGGTGGTAAAGGGGATGGAAATACTTTTATGAGTTCAGTAGAAATGGGTTAGTCCTAAAATTTACATAGAATTATTTAATTTCATTGAGAAGATTTTCTTCTTTTTTAGAAACAGACTCAGAATTATCAGTTCCAAATAAGCAGTAAGAAACAAAACCAGGAAGATGTAATCACCACCGCCCAGCCCAAAAATGCAAAGGATGAGTTAATTATTGAAAAGCTAAAGGCAACCGTGAATGAAATAGCAATAAACAGGAATAAGCTTGAAGAGGAAAACCTAAAGCTCCAGGAGGATCTAAAAATGTACCAAAAACAATGCCAGGTAATGCCATTTTTTTTCTTTACTATGTTTACAGTAGAATTAATGTTGAAGCATTAATTTCCTAGGAGTACACTTTAAAAAATTGTGTGGAGAGGTTTAGGAAAGAGACACAGGCACATTCTTTGCAGGAACACCGAATGAGCTACAAATGGTACATCTTTTTTTGGTAACACATAAGAGGAAACAAAAATAAGTTGGATATACAGTAGTATCTTTTATTCTTGTCTGTTTATCTAGGTTTTCATACCTTTCTTATTCCTGTACCGTTCGCAGAAACTCAGTGTCATTCATTTGGTTTGTTGTGTATACATGACTTATGAACTCTGTTTATCTGGTTTATACATAGTTGTACACCATGCCATAGTCACTAAACAAATATATACATATATATATATAGCAAAGCATGCAGTATACTTTTATTACTGTAAGTAGACTTTGTAGAGCAATGTATTTTTAAGTCGCCAACCATGTGAAAATCCATCAGGGTTTTATCTTACCCCTATTTAACATTTTCTTAACTTAACTGATGTATGAAGATAGCCATTTGAGAATCTTCTTTTGGTGATCTATGAATTCAGTCAAGATATATAGAATTTTTATAGGATTTTATATAGGTTTATATAGTTTATATAGGATTTTTAAACCCTTTTTTGTTAGCTATGTCCAAGGCAGATGAGGACAGCTCTTTTTTGTAACTCATAAGTTATATTTGCTTATTTATTTGAGCACTTAAACACTCAGTGATGTATTCAGTAGCCTATAGTGACTTATCTCTCTCAAGATAGATAATCTCTTTTACTAAGTACATTACTTGTAAAGTTGTCACTTTATTTGTGATATACTTTATAGCAATTAAGATATATGGGGTCGAGTTTAATTTCAGCTAGTCAGAACAGCAAAGTTTTGTGCATGTGACACTTTATTTGCCCATTAGGTTACTGTGTCATTTACCTATAGGCAAGTTTGCGGTATACATTTCTGCCTTTTGGGTGTGCAACTAGAAAATTCTGCTCTGGGATCTATTAAAGGCTGCCATAAAAAGTGGCTAAATCACTTTGATTAGAAAAAGGGATTCGAATGTGGAGCAGAACAAAACATAGCATTTGTAGGGGATTTGTAGGGCTGGAGGATACGTGGAAGGTAGGTGGCATTGAGTCATCTTCAAGAAAATGTTCAAGCAAGATGATTTTTTTGGAAATGTATGATGGAAAACAGGAGTTCTTGGAAGCATTGAAGAAGTAGAAAGGAGGCTGTTGTGCATAAGGGACAGCAAGTTACAGAACAACTGTGACCTTGCTGTGGGATGGATGCCTGCCGTGTTCACTAGAAAAGCTGCATTTGCTGGGAGCTGCAGAAGGTAAAGTCCATAGGTAAATGGTGAAAATACGTGGGGCTTGTTGTAGAGGAGGAAGCAGGTCGGGCTGGAGAAGTGTGGGCTGGACAGGGGAGTTCGGCCTGGTGTGGGAGAGGGAGCGAGCAGTAGGCAGGAGGCCGGTATCATGGCCCAGCTGGCTTCTGGGCCTATGACTACTTCCAACTGTTCTTTGTGCACCATTAATTGGCAAGAAAGCAATAATAAAATGTAATATAGAGAGAGCCACTTGGTTGACTGCGCAGAAAATACTAATTTTAGAAGGCACAGAGACTGCAAACTGTTTCCCTAACCTGTCTGACAAACATAACTGCAGGCACACATATAGGCCCAGGAGAGGGAGCCTGATAATATCACACACAATGCTTGAAGGTCTGCACAGGTCATTTACTGGAGGCTAATTTATATAGAAATTAAACCACATCATACTCCAAGAAGTTAAACAACTTTGAGTTGTGTTAGGACAGGAGCTAATCAGGAAATATTTTGAGACTTCCTCTTGGTATCCAGCCTGATGGGCTAGTTGAAGCAAAATTTTATAGCAGAAAACACAAGAATCCTTACATTTTTTCAACTTGAAATAAAACAGTTTCTGGGAAAAAAAACTTTCATTTTAAGTTTTCTAAACAAAACTTAAAGTTTTCTGGTTCAATTAATTTTCATCTTGGTATTCAAACTAAGTGTAATGGAAATTTCCTAAATTAATAGTAACATGTTTCTAAATGATTTTTCTAAAGCGATACGTTGTGAAACTATTGACTTGAAGTTATGTTTTAATTATTATTGCTGTGGCTGCTGTTGTTCCTGTTATTGTTATAAATTACTGAAGGAAATTCATTTTATGCAAATAAGTAGGATGCCTGTGGTCTCCCACAGGTGATCCAGCTTCCACCACACAGCTGTGCAGCATTTCCCTTAACCAGGATCAAATCAGAGGAGCAGCACCCCTAAATTCTACTATATGAGTATTATCATGGGTATTTCTTGATTGTAAATGACATTATGATGATCATAGACTAATTCTTGCAGACGCTTAAGGAATTTGTTAAGCTTTATTGCATATGAATATGTCCAGGTATTTATTTCAGGGTTTAAAACGCTCTCTCAGCCTAATTTATCAAAGGAGATGATAAATGAATCGGGATGTGCAGTCCCTACCAAAACCTAAAGTGCTTCATATCTCTCTACAGCAGCCCTTTCAGCCAAGGGGAAACCACAGGTCCCCTGGAAAGAAGGTCATTCTAATCTGAGGCTCTAGGACCTCTAAGGAAAATAAACCTTGCTTGAACCTTGAAGTTTCTTGCTTGCCTTTCTGGATTCCTTTTCCTTTTTATTTTATTTTTGAGAGGTGTCTTTTGAGAGTTGAAAAGCTTTATTTTTGCTTTTAAATTTAGGAATGCTACTGAAATAAAATGAAGATGTTTTGAAAAATACTAGCATTTTTAGTGTAGTATTTCTAAGGCAAAAAATCAACAGCCTTGAAAAAGCTTTTACCTGGAGCGGTGTTTTGGATTAAGTTTGTGGGTGTTGGATAAATCAACTTTCTCTGGTTATTATTATTGCAATGATTTGACTATTGTTGCTACTTTTGTCATTTGTGGGTTATATTTGTAAGTTATATCTTTAGTACATATGTAGGATATTTTTCTTCATTACTATAGGAATTCAGGTTTTATAATTTCAGATATAACATGTATCTTTAAGTTTTCTGTCACGTTCTTATTCAGAAATAAGAGATGAAATAGAGTGGATAGAAAAATCTTTTTGTGGTTGTTCGAAAATCTGGTGATATCCATTTAAATAAACTACTATGTCCATGCACATAGGACTAGTTTTGGAGGTGACTGAGCACATACGTTATCTAAATACATCAGTCTATACACAACAACTCCAAGGTGCCAGGCAACATTTACCAAAGATCTACATCTAATCCTGCCCTTCCCAGTTTTCAATTTATAGAGGTGGAAATGCTATTAAGAAAATACAAAAATACATGTTACTTATGGCATTAAATGCTGCATGTGAAGCACACTAATGGAGTCTAGACCCTATAAAAACAAGCAAACTATGTATTTTGCAGGCATTTATTATGGTCAATAACTTCTAGAGGAGGTTTCCTTATGAAAGTCCAACAGCCTGATGCATTGGAACACTGTAAAAGCTAAAGAATGTTCAGTATTACATTTTTTAATGACATTTCTGGAAAAAGGAGCTAACATAAGAAAACCTTTTCAAAGCCATTCTTTCTTCGAAAATATGACTCAGAACAGAAGCAACTGTTTAACTTTTTCTTTCATACATGCTTTATACAAATATGAAAAATTAGATGTTAGTTGGAAAAAAAGTGTCAAAATATGGCATTTTGAGCAACTGCTATCTCATTTTATTTACCTATGTATTTGTATATTTGTTATTTAGAACATGGAGGCAGGCTTTTCAGAGATGAAAAATGAGCTGCAGTCACGGGATGCCCTCTGGAGAGGGATCCAGCTGGAATGCCAACAGCTGCATACAGAATTATTGAAGATCAGAGAGCACAAAGATATGCGGGAAATTCAAATAAAGTATGTATCTTAAAGGTAGTATTTAAATTACCAAGTACCCTAAATTACGAAGTTTTGAGGTAATTTTTTTTTTCTGTTTGATTTAAATTGCGTCTGTTTAAAAAGATACTCTAGATTCAATGTCAGATTCCAAACAACTTTTGAATTAATATTTTCTTTAGCAATTATATATGACAAAATTGCAGGCAGTATGTGCTAAATCTGTTAAAATGCTTTTATGGTAGTTAAATATGTACAAGTAAGTTTATTTATTGCTATTTAAAAGCTTAAGAGTGTCTTTCCTTTTCTTTGTATTAAAATGTTTTGGAAATAGAGTGTTTAAGATTGTCCCCACCTTCTTTCGAGTAAAATCTTGATATTTTTAATGGTTTATCTAATAGGTGAATATTCTGCCATAGGTATTTGAGATTATACGAAATATTAATTTACAAAAGATTTCAGAATTCATTCTGAACACACTTGGATTATCCTTACTCTCTAGAAATCTCCCCAAATCCATCTTGTCTTAGCCAAATCTTTTGCTTTTTTAGTCAGAGAGCAGGTCTTTCCCAGTTTTGCAATGAGGACAAGATACTGTAAGCTGAACTTCCTGCATGTTTCATGGATTATTTTTTACTTAAAGGCATCAATCACCTTGTGTACAATTTACTGAGCAACCAGAAAATAAAAATGATGAGTTTTTAGCATCAGTAGAAAGTCAAGAAAGCCAACGAGAAGAGCAAAACAAGGTATTTCATATTCTTAAGTATTTTCTGATCTTAACTCCAATACAGAATTTTAAAACAAAATACTGACCTTGGGTATGTGCTTATGCAGAAGAGAGGAGGAGGATATATTGTAGTTATAGAAGGAGAGCAAGAGTTTACATAGATGTTGTATTCCTGAAAGTAAATGAGCAGCTGCACAATCAATAGTCTGATTCTGTGTGATTCAAGGACAGCTGTGGATAATAAATAGGCTCTAGGAGGTAAGTAGTAGGCTGTAGGGGGTCTCACACATAAGATATACCAGCAGGTCGTCTCGTACAACCCACTATGGCAAATCCAGGCCAAAATGCGTCTGGTTTAGAGGGTGCCAAGAGCTCTTCTTAGAGGCATGTGGTACTTTGAGTAGTGAATGTAAGTAGGAACATCTGTATTTGGACACTGCTGGCTCGGATCCTGCTGCAGTTCTGGCATAGCAGTCACGATGTAGCTCTCAGATTTTTACATCTACATCTATTTGTTTACAATTCTAGGATTTTTGCGTAGTTTGCATAAATGAAAATGAAATACCATCTGTTACTGTTGCACGCAGTACTGTGAGAAATTATTAAAATAGGTTTGAAAGCAGCTAGGCTGGATTTTGTAGTTATGCTTTTTATATAAGATGAAAATCTATCATATTAAACTGTTATTAGTAGAAAGATTATGAAAACAATCATCACTGTTGATTCTTTGGAGAATTATTTGGATAGAATATAATGCAGATAACTTGACCTTAATTTTTACATATAATGGTAGCCAAAATTCTCCCAAAGTGATTACCATATTAAACTTCTTTCTTTCAAATAAAGTTTCTCATTAGAGATTCTCTAAATTAATTTAGTTTAAAATATTTTTAACATAGCCTGAATTAATTTAGGAGTTTGTAAATGATGCTTAGGTACATTTAGTGGACATTTTTGTGGGCATTGTTTGTCATAAATTCCAATTATTAAAGTTACATTATTTTTATTACATTATTTCTAATAGTTAATTCAAATACCTGTTATTTTGTTCATTTTTAACATTAAATAGGGAAAGGAAAAGGCTACTGATGGTTGTAAGAAGTAGTAAAAAAAGTAAAACTATGTGCTCTGACTCATCAAGACATTTTATTACAAAATCTCAAAAATATCTGATTTAGTTATAAGGTTGGTGTCCTGAAAGCAGACAGCAAAAAAAGTCTCTAGTTGATGACAAGTGATGCAATCATATTTACAGCACAACATTTTCTCTTTTTGAAACATATTTGCTGCAGATAAGAGACCATCTTTATCAAGAGGAGCAGTCCCATTGCTCTGAGCAGGAAAGAATGAGGACAGAAATCTCTGACCTGACAGAAGAGCTTCATCAGAAGGAGATCACTATAGCAACTATCATGGAGAAAGCCAGTCTTCTGGAAAGACAGTTAAAAATGGAGTTAGAGATAAAAGACAAATTGTTAGCAAAACAACAGGTATGCACGCAGGCAAAACTAGCCCAGGTCACTCTGTCCCATGTTACTGATAATTACTTGCATTAACTGTTAAAAGAAAATTACCCCTCTTGCTGTTGTTTTCATCAGCAGAGCTGTAAAATTTGTAATTGGAGAATTCGTTTTGCATGTTTTGAGTAAAGCGCAATATTGAAATTACACATATCTATACTCATTGTTCTTTCAGGTGAACTGTAACATGCTTGTATTCTACTAAGAATTTAATCTGCTCCTAGTTGTAACTAAGAATTTGATCTTTTCCCAGTTGTTGGATTTCAGATACAAAGCTGTCAAATGTGAAAATACACATCTAAAAGAGATGATGGAAAACCAGGAGTGTAAAAGACACATGGTAATTTTTTATATTTCTGGAAAATGTAGATTGAGATCATGGCAGATTTAGACATTCCTAGATTGTAAAGAAAAAGGAGTGAGGGCCAAAGGTGTGTCCAAACCCACGGATTGCTATAATCACACTGTGTACCATCCAAAAATTGTGCAGCATAATCAAAAACAAGTGGTATTCACACATAGCCTGCAGACTTGTGCAGTTATGAATGATTTTGACCTTAACTGCAATAAGGTAGAATTTTCAATAACTTTGTCTAGACTCTAAAGATATTGTGAGGACATATACCTTGGTATAGGTTTCACTTATTTCACAAAATATTTGTTTTAACTGTCATAATTCTCGCAGACTTATGCGAGATCTACAAAAAGATGTCCCTTTTTCATTTCTTTGCCCTCTTTTGCTATGACATTTAAATATTACTATAAGAAATGCCAATAACATTTGGCAACTTATTTTCATATCTTAAGATTTATTTCTCTTCAAAGAGGGGCTAGTTTAATTCATGGAAACATATGCCATATAATCATGCAGAATAATAGCTTATGCAGGTATAAATATTACCACACTGCCTATCACAAACCAGCTTAAAAACCCCTCCTACACACAGACCATCTATAGTTATTGTATCTGTCACCAGAAAAAGACAGAAATGTTGCTTGTAGAAACATCTTGGGGGGGATTCATAGCCTGGTTATTGCAAACTGACACATGCCTTGGAAAAAAAAGATCATGTTATTCCATTTCCTCAGACTAGCAGATAGGTCCCCCAATGACCTTTTATCTATACATCCATATGTATACATCTGATTTATTATTATGTGTATGTGTCATTCTTTGCCACGACAACATCCTTCCCTGAGACAAAGTATTGTTACAGGACAAGAATTCTTGTAGCCATCGTGACTTTTAACTGTAACAGAAACATCCAGTTACTAGATACACCAGGGTTGCTGCAGATACCAATGTGATGCATTGGTGGACTTAATAGTGTTTTCCTACTTCACTAGAGTGTTCTGAGGATCTAAACGTTAAAGAGTATAAGGTGTATGGATGGTAGAACTGCAGGAATGGCAGAGATTCTTACAGATATATTTGCACAGCAGAGCATGGCACAAAACCTCCCTTCAGCGCCGAGCGGAGTCATGCAGCATCGCGCAGAGTGACCCCTTTGGGTTTCATGCCAGGATAACCCTGCTCCTTCTGCTCTGGCTGGTAGAGGATGAGGGGACTCAGCTCTTGCCTTGCTCTGTTGTGCCTCTGCTATCCCTGTGGCAGACATAGCTGAGCCTTATCCCCCTGTTCTTTGGCAAAAGACTTCCCCACCACCCTTCCTTAACCAGCTAAGCAAGGCAAGGTTTGTATGAAGAGATAACATCAGACCAGTTGGCACAAGAAAGGGACCGGCCTTTGCACAGTGGAGTCCTATTTGGTAGAGACATAACCACCCGCACCTCTCTGTGCTAGTGATACACCAAAGCCAGGTGCTTAATCTTCATAAATTACTGGTCTTCAAAAGAATAATGTAGACCCCCAAATACATAAAAGGAAATAATGTAGACCCCCAAATACATAAAACCACACTAATAAAAGGCCTTTTTTTAACCTATTGCACATAATTTGACAAGTTTTTTGAGATATTTTCCTATGGCTGACAGTATACTGTTAGGAGGAATGTATTTACACCGTGAAATGAAGTATTTGTCAGAGAGGCAGAATTCTAACTCAGATGGGCCACGGGGACTTCATGAAAGGGGTGGTAGTGCAAGAAAGGAATGGGATAGGTCACTCAGACCTAGCCTGAATATCTCCACATAGATATTGTAATGTGCCTTTAGATATACCTTATTGGTAGTGCAAGAAAGGAATGGGATAGCTCACTCAGAGACCTAGCCTAAATATCTCCACATAGATATTGAAATTTACCTTATATCTAGTATAGTAATGAATTTCTCATTATTTTGGTTATTTCTGGTGGCATCATTATTGGCAGGGGCAATACAGCTGAAACAGCTACAGCTTGAGATGTTATGGTTGCTTTTATGTCATAGGTTTTACAAAGCAAGTGATGAATTTGCAAAAATAATATTTTGAATGCACTGTTTGCTGAGAAATTTTAATTTGTTTTAATGTGCTACACAAGCTGTTATCCCTTCTCTCTATCTTCTTTTTCTTTTTCTTTTTTCTTTTTCTTTTTTTTTTTCTCTTTTGGAGGCAATTCTATTTCTTTGCTGTAAGTGCTGCATGATTATATGTGGCATCTCTGTCTTTAACATAGAAGATTGCTTTAGGTTTTCTTGTTGAAAATATTAATATCCACTTATTGTGAAATAATGCCCATTTAATGATGATTTCATCTCCTTTCACAGAGTATAGATTTATCTAATCAAAAACATGGAAGTTACACAGCTCCCATTTACAAACTGGGTCATGAGAATATAAGATTACGAAATAGTCTCATTAAACTACGAAATAACACAGAAGCATCAATACTGGATGCCATGGATACATACAAGGAAACAGAGCACAGCTACCAAACTCATTCAAAGATGCAAGAAAAGGAAGAGAGGTAATATTGCAGACTCTACACATACATGAAACTTTCTCTAAGTCTTTTTGGAAACACCTAAGGTCAAACTCTTTTTCTGTTTCTCTTCATTCAGAACTCTGATTAACCTAGTTATCAGACTACGTCTAGCTTTCCAAACTACTTATATGAACTTTATTGAAGAATGCACACAACTACAGTGTTTTATTTGCACTTGGATCTTCCTGCGTGACAACACTAAGAGAAACAATATTCCACAATAAAAAAAAATAGTAGTTTATCAATCTTAAATTATCCTGCAGTCAAAGTGAGAAGCTAGCTAGGAAAATATTAAATAGTCTGGTACTAGCTTTTCACATTACCATGTTGAGCTATGAGGGGAAATGATAGAGTATTATTTGGATAGGTAGAAGAATAGAAGTAAATAACTATCCATTTTTTGCTCCATGATCTCATGTACAGAAAGCATAATAACATTAATAACAACCATAACTGAAGTGTGTCCTTATTAAGTCAAGAAACCAAAGGGTCCACATTTCCTTCCAATAGTTCTGCATTATTCAGCTCTTTC